TCAGAATGTGATTCTTGCCAAATGCGAAACGGATGGTTGCTAATTGTCTGAGTAAACGACTAATGAAGACTGAAATTCTTAATTACTTCAGAGAGGTTTATCTTGCATCTGTGAAGAAAGTTCGCTCGTAAACATGCAGCACAAAACTTGGAAGTCAGGCAACAGTGAAATCAATGTTTTCTAAACAAAATGGAGATTCAAGTACAAAATTCGCAAATGACATATATATATATATATATCCCTGGTTAAAGAGTATTAGAACAAGTATCATGCTACTTTAGAAAATTAATTATCAATGTTTCAATTCCCGAAATTTCGCATAAAAATTTTGAATTATTTCTTATCGAATTTTATATTACAATTAATCGAATCAGAATTTCTAAGATTTTTCAACAACAGTGTACGTATTTCCTTCCGAGAAAGGACTCGATTATGATCGAGCCGATTCGCTGAGATGATTAAGAAAAAAAAAAAAAAAAAAAGACGAAAGGAAAGAAAAAAAACGAAACGAACTAAACAACGTTGAATAGGAAGAGGACCCAATCTCGAGAGAAGCTGTAACGGACAAGCGAAAGTCGAGCCCCAGGCTCACGGGTTCCCCTTTCTTTCCTGCGACCCTGCAACATTAATATCCGAGAAACTCGGATGCAGCATATAGCGAGACGTGACTTGAAGACTCAAGAATATTACGAGTCATCCGGATCGACGAGTCGTTCGAAGGTGAATCGCCGAGGTGCCGAGTAAATCATGATTTTTCCACAACGCGACAATTCTACTAATCTTCGGCTAATCCTCGATTCATTCTGTGACGTATCCTTGCTGAATAGATATCTAGACGCTTCCAACTTTGATTCGATTCCCATTAATTTTTTAAATATCAATGGACAGGTTGAATTACGGCTTTAGACATTTCTTAGCGAAGATCTCTTCCATGATTCTTATTGCTAATGTTATCAGTTCCATTTGACAGATGATTAATTTTGAAGTGATTTTGATCATTAAATTGTTTCATAACGACAAAATATCTTTATCCGGTAACCTCCGTAAAATAATAAAAATACATAGAAATCAAAGTAGTCGACATTCACGAATCTATTCGTGTCGAGTGTTTTCTCTAGACTGAGCTTGATTTCTCGTCGTTCTGTATTCACAAAACACGAACGTACGAAGAACACGAACTTCTTCGATGACCTAATATTACAATATCACCTTGAATATTTCACCGTTTAATCCGACAAGTAGGCCAACGTCTTTTTACTCTTTTTTCTCAGTCCTCTCTTTCTCGGTCGTAAAAAAAAAAAAAGAAAAAAAAGAAAACGCGAAATCTTCTCTTTGAGAAATACGTTTTAACAATATCGCGCGCTTTGACATCGACAAAATCGACGATTCGTACACACGGTATAATTACGGCGAGCGCGATCCGTGTAATTTTACGATGAAAAGCAAGATTTGCGCTCCACCTCCGCAGCATTGGCTTTCTCTCGTTGGATTCGTTTAAATACACCGGGATATATTACCGAGCGATAAACGCTGCTATCGCGGACCATACGTTACGAGGAGCTTGTCCTTAACGATTTTAAAGATTAATTATTCGCCGTTTGAATACCTTCGTTCTCTTCAACGTGCATCGACGCAACTGCATGCGTTTAAAACGATCACGTTACCAAGATATATATATTTCCCGGTACGTCACGGAACATTCGATTAAACAAAAAATTTCAGGTCAAACGCGAGTCGAAGAAAAATCACTTTCACTCGAGGCGAATCAAACGTGAGAATGAATCCTGGTACGAAATTATTTATACGTTTAGAGCGTGACCTTTTTTATCAAAGAGTCGACACGTTTCAATATGTATATCTGCTTAGAAATCTTTTCTAAGTGAAATTTGAATATTTTAAACCTTGGGTAAAAAATGTTAACCCTCGGACGATCATGGGATCGTGCGATAATCGAAGAAAAATAATTATGTACAATTATAAAATATTTATTTTCGAAAGCAACTTGAGTCGCCTTCTATGACAATTGTAAAAAATAAATAAAATAAATTTGTTTTTTCCTACCTATTTTTATCTACCAAAATAATTTGATCCAATCATTGTTGCGTGTAGAAGGATAAAATTAAATTGCACGTTTTTTAATAAAATCAACACATGGCTTGAATTACATACATAGTTAAATTACAGTTTAATTGATTTAACTCTTTCCAGCATTCGCGTACAAGAAATTCCAGAGGGATTTTCTATCGTGGTACTATCTTTTTAATTATATTCTAAAAAAAAAGAAATAAAATAAAAATTCACGGTTCAACAATTATCCCAAGACTTCTAAACCGAGAGCGTGTGTACACACATTTCGTAACATTGCTCAACTTCACCCATTGCGACTATCCCCCAGTTACCGAGTGAAAATCGACAAAAGTGACATCCCTCGAAGCACTAAACGTTCAATTTCCTGTTTCCTTCATCGATAACCAACAACCGGCTTCCGAAACGAGAATCGAAATCCACCTTGCTTCCCGCTTTTCCAACGAACCCGAACGAAACTCGAGTCGATCACTCTGTATTATAACTAAATCGGGTGTTAGCTCAGGCGAACAGCGTGAAAATGCTCCTCAACGACGACTGGCCGCGTGCATCACGCGATGATCGCGCGAATCAAACCGGAAACCCGAGGTGAAGCCAGTGAAGGAAAGAGAAGGAAAGATATCGGAAGAATCGAATCGGAATCGTGTCGGCAAGTGGGTCGAGAGTTCACGTGCCGGATAATTAAATTCCACAACGAAGAAAGCGTTTTCCCTCTCGTTTCGCGGTACCATCACCGACGCGCACTGGCCAACGAGCTGGACAACCGCTCGATATCGTTTGATATTTCTTCATGCGAACCTGTGCATCAGCAACGTTCGCAGATAGAAGACGCGAGTGTATGCAAATGTAAAGGCTCGTACCCATCAATGAATACGTTCGCCAGAAGCGAAGAGATTGGGAACATGTAAAACGCGAAAATATATGAAATACGGCTCGAGTAACGCGGATCTGGAGTTCTGTGCGGATTTTTATGAATTTTTGTCGAAAATTTAAAGACTAGAGGCTGCAAAGATGTATAAAATATGTAGAACATGGCAGAAACTTTGACAGTCAAGATCTCAGAGAGCATACATTTCACTAGGATGTTTGTGATCAGTAGGCAAACAAACGACGAACAAATGCTTCTGGTTTTGGTTCAATATTTTCCTTGCAGAGAAATCTTGTCGGTTGCAAGTCAAATATTGATTCCCTCGAGAAATACACAGATTTTAAGATTCAACTGAGGAATGTCCGCGCGATTTTACAAAATTTCAGATCTTGGGTCTTCGAAAATCTACAATACCCAAAGTAGAACGTTTGACAAATTTTCGTTTCTTATATTTCTAAAGATACAAAACTTCATGGACGAATCATGTATCTATTATACCGAAGCGGTTCGTTTGGTCGCACACATGTCTGTTTTGACCAAGAAAACACCGTAGGTTTCATCGTTATTCGTCCAAAATGTTGATGAACACCAGTGAGAATGCACCTTAAGATGAACACGCTACCAAGAGAGACTACCGTGAAGGAAACTCTGCGACGAGGATGATACGATAGTCGACCGCGCGCTTTTCTTCCTGATACTCTCGCCCTGGAGATCAGGGATCAACGATCCAACGGGTGGCTTTGGGACACGCTCGATGCGTTTTTGCGACATGGCTCGCTCGAGCTGAGGCTACGTAATCAGGTTACATAAAACGAACATAAAGAACTCGTGTAAATTACTCGATCGAGCCTCGTCGTTTTGAACGACGATTTTGTCAAACGGCGGGATCTGAGCGTTAATCTCCGTGGAAAATCATTAGACAGATAGTTCTCTCGTTGAAAGATAGAAACATGGATGTAATTAGCGGATTGGATTAATATCTGAAAATAACACAACGCCGCTTCCTGCGGTGTTTCTAAAAACGAAACGAGGTAGACGAGAACACGCGGAAATCGATTATGGGATTTCCGTTTGCGGCACGAGTCGATCGGCCGTATTATTAAATCGTCGTGGCTTGAGTGAAATTCACTTGAGCGAAAACGAATTTTCCAACGTGGCGAATAAAATCGTTTGAAATGGATTGAATTAAAAGATTAAATATCGGAGGAATTGTAAGAGAAAGGAATGGAGAGTCATCGTTCTCGTCGATCTACTCGCGGTGGGTCTACGTGCGTTTCTCGAACACGTGAATGGAATATAAGTGACCGAAATTTGTACGAGATTACAAGCCAACGTACAGAGTCGATCGATATTGGATCAGTAGTTGCGAGAAGTTACGCCAGAAGTTACGCCGTCTTCTTCGTAAACGATCTTTTCGCAACGGGTTTGTAAGAAACATTCCAAGTCGCCAAATAAATAAATACCAATAAATTCTAATTAAGAAAAAAAAAAAAAAAAAACATTTTAATCCTCCCGGTTTCGCCGAAGAGGGAAGAAGAAAGAGGTAACGAAACGAGGCGCAAAAATCGTCGAACACCTGCGCGTTGAATTTCATCGAGGCCCTGCTCACGTAATCACAAAGGAAGACCAGAAGACGAAAATCGACCAAACCGTCACGTTTCAAAACTTCGATTTGTGAAATCAGTCGAAGATACTCGACGCCTCGAGCGCTGTGTACCGAGAGTCTAGGTCTAGGACGGGCAACTTGGGATCCGTTGGGCGTGCGGATACGAGAGAGGGACGGACGAAACAGTTTCGCAACGATCGACGATCGTCCGAATTCGGTTGTTCCTGAGGGCAGAGGGTCGAGGTGTATCATCGACGAGCAACGAGGACGCGCTGGGTGTAACGTGCGCTGGAGAAACAGAGAAACGAACACAATTGAAAGGATAGGGGAGAGGCACAGGAGAGATAGAGAGAGAGAGAGAGAGAGAGAGAGGGAGGGAGGAGGGGAGGAGAGAATCGTCTCACAGCTGAATTACTCTCACTCGCGAGAGGCCCCCGTCTCTTCTTCTTCTTCGTGGGGGCTTCAAGTATCCCCCTGCTTCTCACGGGGTATAAAGGACCCTGGTCCACCTTGCACGGAGTCACAGAACAGAGCGGCATCGCAGAAGCCGACATGAATCCTCTGATCGCGGTAAGCTGAATTTTCTTAGATATTATGAGAGAGAGAGATGTGTGTGTGTGCGTGCGTGTGTGCATGATCAAAGTGTGGACGTTTTCTTTTATTGAAAAAGTGAAATCCATTGGATGTTTCAAAAGTGATCCGTGACCTCGATTTTTTTGTCGATTTTCTAACCGAAGACTCGGTTAAACTCCGTTGGGATTATGTTCCCTCCGTGCGTTGTACCATGTCGAGTTTTCCCGTCAATGACACCTTGTACCGCCACTTTCCCTCTCGATCGCGCGACTTCTAATTTCGACCATACTTCAACGATCGGTGACAATTTTCGCGACTTCTTTCCTCTGCGATCGAGTCTACGCTCTCTCAAAGAAATGACATATACTTTCAACTGATTCGCACGGATATTTATATACACCATTTCTCGTACTTAATGTTTCGAAGATTTCTTAAAAACATTCCTGTTCACATCTCACACTCCAATTCCAGAAGAGATTAATCACATTGATCGATGTCTTTTGTTTTTTTCCAGTGTATGATAGTCGGTCTAGCAGGGTTCGCCCTGGCCGAACCACCAATCTCGTCCGGCTACAGCTACAGCAGACCGAGTGGAGGTGGTTATTCCGGTGGCGGTGGCGGCGGTGGTTACTCGTTCGGTGGTGGTGGTGGTGGTGGTGGTGGCGGCGGTGGATATACATCCGTATCTACCGGTTACCAGACCAACGAAGGAGCATCCGTCGACGGTGCACTGCTCGAACAGATCCGTCAAATTCTGCTGAGGGAAGAGCAAAGCGGCGGCGGCGGCGGCGGCGGCGGCGGCGGAGGAGGAGGCGGCGGTGGCTACGCCCCAAGCTCGAGCTATGGTGCCCCATCGTCTCAATACGGTGTGCCGAGCTCGAGTTACGGTGTACCAGGTTACCAGACACGCGTGGTAGGCATCGATCTCGAAGGAATCAGGCAGGCTATTCAAGTGGCGCAGTTCAATCAAGTGAGTCAAGGGTCTGGCGGTGGCTACCCAAGCGGGCCAAGCGGAAGCTACGGAGTACCAAGCAGACCGAGCAGCAGCTACGGTGCGCCGTTCTAAGAACTGAACCACAGATTGGATGATGGGAGAGCGAGAGAGGGAGAGAAAGAGAGAGAGCGAGTGAAGACACCGGTCGACCATCGATCGACTATCTTCCGAGTCTGAGACTCTTAACGAAAGGAAGAAACCAAGTGGAGGATCGAAACCTATGGTCGATCGAGGGAAACGAGAAAACTATAGATCAAGATAATTCAGGTTTCTATAACTACAACTAAGGGAAAATCCGCTCGGAAGGTTGCCGCGCAATGGACAGATCGTTAAGGAGAATACTATATGATAGAAAATAGAAGAACGGTCCTATTTTCCAAGTACGAAGATGGTGGTCGTTCGACGAGTCAGGATTCTCAGGGGTAAAGGACGAGGACGTACAAGTCCAAGGTGTACGTACAAGGTAACATCGAGCAGGGATTCCAAAGGCTCCTGTTTCGTTGAAATCAAATCGTCGTCGCTTCAACGGGCCACGATCCTCCGAGGAATCGCGGGCGTACGTACTAAAAGAGGTAAACGAAACTCCTGGCTGCTGGTTCGTTGAAGAATAAAAAGGTCGTCACTTCAACGGGTCAGGGCTCGAGGAGTGAACTTGAACGTTCGAACGAACCGACCACGTTATGATATAGGTCCAACGATCGTCCAACGTCGACCAGGTGTCCATCTTCTTATCGTACCAAAATCATCGTCATCGCGGTCGGATCCACGAGGGATCCAAAGAAACGTAACCAAGTGATAGAAAACAAAATAAAACGAAACGGAAAAAAGGAAAAAAAAGAAAAATACAGGTCGAGAAGAGAAAAAGAGAATCACTACAGATCTCAAAGGAGATATCAACGTGACTACATTTTCTATGACTTCGAGATGGCATAGCCGTGGAGCCGGAGCCGAAGTCGAAGCCGTGATCGGCGCGAGAACGCGCCTTGTAAATACAAATTTACACATGCTTTCCACAGCGTTCGCTGCGTCATCCGACAGCTATCGAGGAGGAACTGAACGCGTACATCGTCGTCGAATCAGGCCTAAACAGTTCTTTCGAGGAGGATCGAACAACCAGGCGAAACACCAAGAAGCAAGACAGACAAAAAGACGTGAATTCGAGGAACGGAGCGGACGCTGACACGAAAAAACACACCTAACACGTACACACAGGAACACACACATGGACACACGTACAGATACATTATATTTTTTTATATGTCTTAAACGCTACTCCTTAACTACGCATCTTCTTTTTTATACTTGTATAAAGGCTTTTTTGTAGAAAAAAATAAAAAAAAACGTCGCCACCGTTGAAACAGCCGCTGTTCCGCTCAATTTCGACGCGTGCCTTTCCACCGCAACGACAACTCTCTGCAACGGCCGCGTCTCTCTTTCTTTTCTCCTCGTCCATAATTTCTCTTTTCCTTATCGATCTCGCCTCTTCCTGAATTATACCAGCCACCAAGCTCTATTCTAGGTGTACCAGGCGATTCGTGACCCCTCCAGCTGTTCGCTCGCAGCCACACACATGAATATTCCTCCTCCTTTAAAGACGACCGATCTTTTCTTTCCCCTCTTTTTTTTTGTTTTTCTTCTCTTCGTCCAGCAGGCGCCTTTCTCCTTTCACTGCAACGACCAGAACCGACCAGGCTCTGACTCGCACCGGGCCCCCACCGGGCCCACGGGGAGCTTCTCCAGCCTGGACATGACGTAAATTCTCACGAGCGTCGTTTAACAGATGCTCGCGAAGCCGGAGAGGCCTGGACATCGGTCAACAATTCGAAAGTCGCCTCGCTTCGCTATTCTACTCGAGCCGACGTTTGGCCAGATTCTTATACGCGCGACACGTTACGTATTCTCGATTTGGAGTCGTTATATATACATATATCGAAGAACGTCGTATTTCTCGAGAAGCAAATAACAATCCGCCGAACGACACGTTACACGACGGAATTTCACGTCGTCAAACTTTTCATAGGTCAGTCGCCGATGATATAATAGTCCGCTGTTAACTTACCGGAAATTTTTCGAACTCGGTTTTCGATTCGACGAGAGCAAGCAATGGAAATGTTTAGGCGAGTAACGAGCCGCGATGAGCCGGGTTAAATCGCTTACGTGCGTTTAGATTTCATTGTTTATGCAATCGGTCGCGCGTAACAGACGTGTTATAAACCAACAATTCACGGCGTGAATTTCCACCGTTGAAAGCATCCCGAGATCCTTTCATGACGTTTAACGAGATTATTTTGCGGATCGTTTAAAAATCACGCGATTTAATCGATAATGTGAGAATAACGTTGCGAATTAGAAGATTCGCGAGGCTTTCCTGAGAGAGAAATAATTTCGGCTCAGGATCGTCAGTAGTTCCGCGAGCAATTCCGCGAATAATTAGAAATTGAGTAACGCGCGCTAGAATTAAGTAATCAGCCAGCGTCTCGGACACAATGCGAGAGACTGGCGTAATTAAGCACGGCGCGATGAGGAACAAACGGCGAACGCTATGTTAGACCTAAATTAAATCATCAAGCCGCGCGTTGTTTCTTCGTACTCCTCCCCAACTTCGTCGCGTTCAAGCGTGAGCCGGCTTTGCGCAACGCGCATTACGCGAGAAAAGCAAATATTTGATGTCGAAAACGATATCGCGGACAATGAAAAATTAATATCGAGAGAGCAGAAGGCGTTAATGGACAACGCAGGAGGGGGATGTATATTGCGCGAACAAGCTTGCCGCCTTTCCTAGAACGCTCTTTGTTGCTCAAGCACTGGCGAATAACATTTTATGCATACACTGCGTGGAGATATCATCTTCTGTGTTCGTCGTCTGATTCATCCGAGGGATCAACAGAATTCGAACGAAGTTGCTTGCGTTCCCGATGAAAATTCTCGTCTCTCCGATCGGAGATTCCGGAATTCTGAAATTTAAAAATTCCAGCTTCCGCGATCAACAGAGGAATAACGAAGAGATCCGACTCGGCCGTTCTAAATGGACTTATGTATGTACGACGTCCAGCAGGGAAAGTGCCGCGACTCTTCGCCAGCGAGGATGGCGAGATCGAGAAAGGGGAAAGGAGAAGAGGAACTGTGAGACTCTTCGTGGAATTTTGTAAGAGCCGTACATAATCCATAAACGTGCCTGCCAGGCAGAAGCCGTGCGAAAGGAGGAAAAAACGCGCGCGCGCGCAATGGGAGCCATTCGTGCTCCAATTCCGAATGAAATTGCAAACTGGATTTTTATGTTAGTTTGAGAGAAAAAGCTACAGAGCCACTCCCACGCGAGACTTTCATCCTCAAGAGATATAATTTCTTCAAACATATAAAAATATTATTTCCTTATTCATACCAATAATTCGAATTTGAAGTTTGATAATTCTAAATAATCTGAATCTGGATGAACTAACGAAATAATTTCAAGTGATCTGAAAACAACAGTTTTAAAGAATATGAAAGGTATATGTTATTATAATATAAAGGAATATGTTATTTTCACTCTCAAAATGTTACAGCGAACTTTTTTCCTCGCAAGGAACACGCAATCGGACGATCTATCAGCGTCGGAGAAGTCGAGCGGCGTGTGAAAGGAGAGAAAAACGCGGGCACGGTGACGCACAATGAGATCGGCTCGGCCAATTATGGGAAGAGGATTTGTCGAGCAGCCGGCTCGTAAAATGCGCGCGTTTACAATGGTCCTGCTCGTTGTTTTACTTTCGCTAATCCCGTTTCCGTGGCGCGAGCTTTTGAGGCTGATGCCGATTGCTCAACACACGGCCGTTTTCTTCGTTAACGTGGCAGCGGATGCGTTTTTTTTTTAGCTTCTTGAACCAAGACACGTCATCTTCTATAATCATGAGACCTGGTAACAATCGCCATTGCTGGCGACTATATTCCTGCGATGTTTTTTTTTTTTTTTTTTAAAACAATGTATCGTTTTCCCTTTATACACTAATTAATTTATCTTCAATTTGAAGGCGTTGCTAATGTTTTCGGCACTACTGTGTTCGAAAAGGTTCAGCTGCTTTTAAAAAATAATCACTCGTTGCGAAGGCTATCGCGAATATTACTTAGTAATAAAGTATAATAAAATTGGTTTTATTTATAATATAAAATATATTAAATTTAAAAATGTTAAAAAAGAAGAATATGTTCAAGGTACAGCAATTATAAATCTTTGTTTTGTAAACGATATTAAACTTCTCATGAATTTTGAGAAAAAGTGGAGAAAAAAGCGGAGAAGTTCGTTTACCGTGAATATCTTTTCGCCCTTCGTCTCCCCGTCAGATTATATCTCTGATGGTTCTAATGATTTCTGGTATCTCATGAACACCCGTGCATTCTACGCTGTTCAACAGACACATGTATGCACGTGCAAGTTGAAATAGTTAAGTAACATGTTTTTGTTCTACGAAAAATGGATTCGCGTGAATCCGCGCGGCTAATTGAACAGCCTCAGTCGTTCGTAGTCATTCGTAGAAAAAAAAAAAAAAAATGAAAAAAGAGAGAAGAAAGTACCCTCCTTCACGAGGATCAGTTATATAAGTGAAATAAACATTACGCGAACGAGTCCGGGGAATGCAGGTCGCAATGTACATGAGAGAAAAATGCGGTGCAATTTTAAGATGTCCGTATGTATGCCCAGAAATTGTGTAAATTGCACAAGCGTTTTTATCAACTCTGCAATGAACAGAAATGATCGAATTGTTATGACATTGATTCGCGATTTCCGCTCGATCACGAATCGTATCCAAGATTAATCGACGGTATAAATTAAACGGAACCGAGTCAATTGAAACAGTTGAACCATTCCATTTACCGTTTCGAATGTATGATTAAGCAAGCATAAACAAATACGCGATTTTCCGTGAATGCAATTCAATCGCGAGGCATATGGTCGTTACTCACGATATAATTCAAGGAGGAATAAATTGAATTCTTTAAAAGTGGGGGTAAGAAATTAGAAGTCTCGAGAAATTGAAAACTCCGATATTCGTTGAAAAATGCAATGAAAATTGAGCTGTTGTAGATAATGAAGGAATGCAAAGCCGACATGACACTTGTTCATTGATTGCACGGAGATACTTCTACCCTGAGAAAGCGAAGAAGGGGAGAAAGTTACGGGAAAATCATTGGCTTCCCGTATGCGCCATCACGTCGTTCACAAAGACAAGAAGACGAACAGGCTTGAGCGTTCTGGCAACTTAGGTACATACTTACACACGCCTACTATCACGTCGAACATAATTTACGGTATTCGTCGTTTGATTTATGATTTAAATAACCCGAAAGGGGACATTCGAAACGCTCGAAACGAGCTTTCCTGCAGCGGAAACACGCGACAGTCGCATGTCTTTACGACTCTAAGTTTCTCCGTGCTTTCAGGGATAAAATGTCAATCGGCTAATTAAAGAAACGAGACATTCGCGAGACAAGTTCTGGTATATGGCTCGAGTAAGTGAAATTCAAAAAAAGTATTTAACCTTTAGGTAGTCAATTTTCTAATGGGAGGAGGGTGATTTTTAATTGTTGACGTCGATAAAAAGGAAATAAAATGAATTGAGATTACAACTTACAATTACGTGGCCAAGTCGCGCGATGAACTTCTTTTTACAGGCTCGATGTTGGTATGTGGTTGATATTCGATGGATGATTTAAGTATATTTGTGGAGATTGGCGAAGTGAAGGAAGTAGATGTTATGTAGGAGGAACAGGAACTGTTGGATCATGTGAGAAAAAAAGATTTAAAAAATTAGGAACATTTAATGATAAGTATTTAAATATGTGAACTACATTTAATGTGATGGAAGGACTGTATTATCGTAATAGCAATAAGAGAAACTTTCTTATCTCTGTTACGATCAAGTTGAAAGAAAAAAAAAATGTAAAAAAAAAAGAAAGGAATAAAGAATATAATTCAATAATTCAATGTAATTCAAGAATTCAAAATAATATAAAAAATAATATAAATAAAGAAAAATTTAGAGAGAAATGACAAAGAAACTGTTACTGTTTAAAATACTTGCAGTACAAAAATACTTAGAAAAACTCGATATAATTAAAAATACTTTACTCTCTTGTACAAAGGTAGGAATAAAAGAATTTAATTTTGTATTTATGTACATCACTGTTTTGGCTTCTCACAGCTCATTGTCCATCTATTTACACCATCATTCTCTCATCCAAGCACAAGTTTCACTATTATTGTTACGATATTTAGAAATATCAGTGGAACTGCAACAAACAATGAATTTGTTAACTATTACGTACAAATAATATAAACATGAATTTGAACAACTTCCTTCAATAATTACCTCGTGCCACTGTTCGTATCGACCTAATAAGATTCAAAATTTGTGATTTGACTGTGGGTGGTTCTCCAAAACCTTGAACATTTTGCCATGATGCCCAACCAACTGTAACAACGTTTAAAGAAAAATTAAACGACATATTCCAACATACAAGCAAAAATATGTATACACAACCTGTATATTCATTTATATACATATAAAGCAATATGTGTAAATACAATAAATAACCTAACCTACGAGACCTGCCACTTTCGTGCCGGGAAGAAATTCAATGTAAAGTAATAATAGAAGCAGAAAATACAGCGAGATGACGTACCTTTTGCGAGAAATCTTTCTTCATTTAAGACGCAAACAGCATTTAAACAGAGCATAGTAGCCTCGAAAAGTGCCCAAAGTGTAAACGCCATGTTACAACGATTCGATGAACAACATACAGTGCTGTAGACAGCGCCACGGACAAGAAGAGAGGTAAAACAGTTTCACAAGTATCGACCAATCAATTTGTATCGATTGGAAACCGACCTGCCATCTTCTGCAGTCTGCTGAAAACTAATGATTAATCGAAAATTGAGAATCGCTTTACGCGGGAAATTTGAACTTCACTCCAACTTTTATCAAAATACTTGGAACAACCTAATCTGTTATTACAATGGTATTTAAGATTTAGAAACGATAAGACGAACTTGGACCTCGTTAGATAACTTTTTGCAAATGCTTCGAGGAACGTTTCTAGAACGTACAGAAACGAATAGCCTTAAAACGACACTCGAAAGAATTTTACAACTAGCTTGACAGCGCGATAACACAATGAATAGTTAGGAGCATTATTCTATTTATGATAATTGAACGATAAGGTATACCTTCACGGCACTAACGCTTTTGGAACCTTTGAACCGGAATACAGACGGTTTCTAGATGATTCGACGCTCTCTTCTCAATTGAGTTACGTTAGCAGTTCATGCGTGCCGATTTAGTTATAGAACTTAGAGTTCATTCCGTGTTACCCCGTGATCGTTCATGACCTCTATCATCGTTTCATCACGCGGCGTACATAGCACACGTTTATCACGTGCAAGGAAATTACGATATAATTTTACGTAGGTAAGGAAAAGTCGGAATCTTCCGTTAGAAACGAAAGTCAACAAGCGTCTGACGTATGCACAAATTTTTCCTATTTGCGATAAGTGCCCGACAAATGTTAATCAGCAGCCTCGAGCAAGAGTACTATTACTAATTGCAAGGTAAAGTAAAATTCATCGAAGCGGAAAGTACGCGAGAATCACGTGTTCCGAATGTCACATTTATGCAACTTTTAGGAAATGCTACACTAGCAGCATTAGGAAAAGTTTGAGACAGAGCGATAATTATCTTCAAGAAGAGGCTATAGCTTACTGTACGTTCCTCCCACGCGTATGATATATGATATTTTATTTAGCAACAATACAATATAGGAAAATTGTGCCGAAGCCAGTTTTCCTCGTCCAATTCAGATCTTCGACGAATTCGACCATGTGATTCATCATCTCTGTAATACAATTTTGTTTAAACAAAAAGATGACAGTTTTTCTAACTTCAGTTTAACTTTAACTTTCCACGTCGATCGTGGAATACAGTAATGACTCATTTTCTCAATAATCAAGCAAATCGTACGATCGCTGGTTTACTTTAAGACAAAAATTTGCATGCTACGATCAACTGGACGTGACAATATGACTAATTCCAAGAAATTATATGATTCAAAAACGCACGTCAGTGTGTTTCCACAATTTATACCACATTAAGCAGCAATTTCTCAGGGCAAGTTAATGAGCAATTCTAACTCGTATACTGATTGAACTGAATAACAGTGAATACAAAGTATTTACACTTTGTCTGACCACTCGTGTTCGTTAAACGTCTCATTGGGAAAATAGAAGAAACAACTGTGGACTTTGGACAGGCCAAGGAAAAAGAGAGGACCGACTTCACGGACGCCAGATAGTAATCGGGGCAAACGTTATTTCAACCGTCACGTAGTCGCAGCGAAATAGCAAAGTTTGCAATTTTTTCTCCATGCGGGATCGTAAACAATCGTCATTTGCTGTTGCAATTTTGTTTTCGAGCCGGACGAACCACATAATAATCTAATCTGTCGCGAGCAATAAATAATACCCCCCGACTAATGTCAACACTATCACCTAAGGAGACGAGAATTAACGTTTAAATCGTACAATTAAGAATTACGTAACACGTTTGCGGTAATAATTTACAAGACGTAAGGTCCAACCATCGAAACAAGGCGAGAAGAAAGGTTCTGGTAGCAGTTCATACGAACTGGAGCCCAATCTAATTGAACTCTTGAGAACAGTGAGTTCTATCTTACCATCGTTTGGCTAATAAATACAATGACGCCTCGAATTGGGCTGGCTCCTATAATACAGTGTCTAAGTAGAGCGATTACAGTTAAACGACGAAAATAAACATACCTAAGAAAAGCTATAGCGAGCATTCAAATTCGGTAGAACGAAGCTGGCGTCCATGGAAGTTCTAGTCGAGACATCGAATCGATACTTCCTACGATATCTTCAGAGCAATCGTCAATGCTCCACATAGATTTGTGAAAAAAACAAAAAAAAAGAATTACACAAAAAATCACACTGTGTTTAAGTGCCCCGTGGTCCAATAAACATCAAACGTTTTGTCTGTAAACGTAAATACATTCGACGCGTTTCCAACATGATTGCTTTACCGAGATGGAGGGGTCAGCGAAACGTTGATTGGCCAGTTTCAACAGAGGGCGCCTACCAGGTCCGGGTCGATGTTGCTAAAAGCTGCAGCAAATGAAGGAGCATCAGTCTCTGGAACCTCCTCGGCTTGTACGTAGACGTTCTTAGCAACCACGAGTTATCCTCTTCGTTTTCACTTTGCTTCAGTTCACGGTCCCGTGCATTCACTGTTGCGAAACACCAGCTGGATTTCCAACTACGGTGCACTGAACATCGAAGTAAACACGAAGCTCGATCGTCAGGCAACATCGGTAGAGAATCCGCAGTCGTATTACCGAAGGTCTTTGGCGGATAAAATTAATCTTGCAAACCGGTTGAATGAGAACTGAATACTCTGCAGAGGCGATTCCGAGCCGAGTGTTCGAGTGAAACCACGTTGACGTGGGCGGAAAAGGGAGAGAAAAGGCACGAAAGGGTGAAGTATAGCTTGGATATAAATATAACTAAGGCGGAGTGGAAGAGGAGACGAAAAGGGAACACCGGCGTGCAAGAGGACGGTGGGGCAGCACCGTGACTATGTAAACTACTAGCAAATACTTGTGGCAGCGCGTGCGCACAGCCGAGCAACAGTCCGTAACGACACACTCGTAACACAGGTATAAATTACAGTAACGTGGTAGATAGATCAGAGAGATCGGTGAAGATCGAAGAAATAAACGGTGAATCAATCAGAATAGTAGAAGAAGAGTTAACGAGAAAAGAGAAAAGAATTGGAGAACTGGGCTTTTCTTCGAGCATAGACAAAGAAGCACGCAAACTGGCTCCGGAGGTGAGGATCAAGCAAATTGGAATGAGGGAGGACCTGTTGTCCATAATACGGCACACAAGCAGCGATCATTTTTCGGAAGAACTTTAGCCGAAGATTGAACGACGCAAGGGGCAAAAGGAAGACTAGCAATAGACCACTGCTGCTTTCGAGTATTCCGTACAAATAGAGGGCTCTTGTTTGCTGGATAAATCAAGGAGAAGCGTCTGCCAGCGTCTCTTTTCATTCTCTTCCTGTTCCATTATTAATCCCCGAAACCGATCCATCCGACTGGCCTGTGTTTTCCACGCGAAGGAAACCAACGAGCCAAATTCTCGAGCAGTTTCCCTTGTCGGGTTATGCCCTGGGTGATCGCCTGTTTCGATCTTCTGGCGACACCGATACTAGATCACTGTCTGGCCGTGAGGAAACTCGCGCTGCAAACCGGCATCCTCGAAGAAGAAACCGACAAACCGATCGTAGCACAGGCGGCTAACGCGACCAACACGTCGAATAGACAGAAAAAAAGCTCGTTGAGCGCTGACACCATGGCTCCGAGTGCCGAGGAACAACGTCAAGGTAAAGCCCATTTAAATGGGACAATAACAATACCAGTTTCGTACCTAATTAACATTGTTTACTCGTACGGTCACATCATGCTCGGCAGGCTCGCGACAGGCGACGATTGTTATTGAATAGCATATCAATGAATAATCAGGTTGCGAAATATTCGCGACGAGATCGTTTGTTGTTTCTTTCTTATCTATTAAGAAACGAAAGCATCAGGTTACCGCGCATTACGTAACGCAATCGTTGTAAAAAGTTGCACAGAAGTGCAGTATGCGAACGAATCGAGGAAATGCTAGCCAAGAATACCGGAGAAAACTATATGCTTTCTCGTTGTTGTCGTTTCTCTTTCTCGTTGATACGCGTTCTTCGTCGATTTTGGCTGTAACGTCGAAATACACACGGGAATCAGGACACGGTTTCACGAATCTCAGCTCTGTACGAAAATCGTAGGTGCCCCGGATATAAATAAGACGCGATACAAATAGACATCCGTGTCTGCTCGGAAACGCGACGAATGAAAAAGCTCAACATGTGGCAGACAAGAAAAAAAAAAAAAAAATAAAGGAAAAAAGACACGGCGTCAGGTTATTCCATGTGATCATTTACCAGGAACGAAGTAATTTTACGAGTTCTAATAACCGTGGTCTCCTTAGGCATTAGTGTGCATTTTGATAAATAATATCTTGTCTATTCCTATTTATCATCGGTCTTGTCGTACCAATCGCCGCGCTGTTTTCAGAGAGGCGTTTCTCTGCCTTCTGAAGTCAATCCTGATTGTTTCTTCGAACAACAAAAAATCCCGCATTAATGGAATACGCTCGTAAAAATAATTACGAAGGCCAGCAATGACGAAAGAATCATGATAATAACAATGATTATCGGCATCGGTTATGTCATTCTAGCAATCTATTGATTTTCTAAAAGGAAAATAATGTTTTAATCTATTGATTTATGATATTTTTCCTGAGTTGTGAACCAAGTAAGTCATTATTTCTAATGACCAATCTGACAAATATTTAATCAAATTGCGAGCAGAGTTTAAGTTTTAATTGGCTTATTTAAATGCTTATCAGGTCTATATCAGTTGAAGTTTTATGTATTTTTTTTTTTTAATTCGAAGTTAAAATTAAATATATCGTAAGATAATTGATGAAGAAACTGAAAAGTAGACTTCGTTTTTCCTCTAAACGTGACCTCTAGTATCTCGGCAGTAATTCACGAATGAATACGGCTTATTCAGCCGAAGGTCAAAAAAATATCATTATTGTCGTTTGGCGCGAAATAATCGCGGCCACATTCTCGTCGGGATAAAGGCAAATCTTCCGATACCCTGAATTTTTTCAATACACGTGCCTGATATTCACGAGTGGAGAATTAGCACCACTTCAAATACGAAGCTTCGCGTACGTATTTTCATTTTAATCTCGTAATCTAATCTAACTCAAACGTGAAATTATTTCGAGATAATGATGTCTGTCAACATCGCGGTTAAATCAAGTAAGAGTTCGTTACACGTTGCAACGTTTACCGTTCAAATCGTGAAAGGTGAAATTTAAATTCAAGGGGGAAAAAGGAAAGAAAAATTTCTTCAAGGATATTTCACCGAGCGAGGGAATATTATTATAGCTTGAGAATGTGCACATGATGCACGCTGCATGCTAATAAGCCTAAAAACCCACCTTCGTGATCGAGTAATCTGTGCCCCTTGTACCTCACTGTCTCTCTGAATCATTACCATCGTGCACAGTCGTGCATGTAGTCGTTATACGTGCATTATTGTCAGCATATGCCAATTGTTTACACTGTCCTTGTAGATACGCACTACGTATAAAAACAAACAGCGATAGAATGGTAGATGATGTCAGCTGCGCGGGAGAGCTGTGCACCTTAAAGGCGTTTAACATTCAATTGACGTAAATGCTCCTTATCTTGAGACACAGTTTGTTCCAATTCCTTATCGATGATCGACCTCTTTTTTTTTTTTTTTTACATATATCTCGCGCAATTTAAACTATCGCGTACGAGGTTCTACGGATATCTCGCTTTATCGAACTCGAGTGGCTTGGGATTTTCAAAGCTTCGAGTTTGAATTCTTCTCGTAAAACTCCGACAAGGGATTTAGAGGATTATATCATTTCACATTGAGCACTAATAGTGCCGATTCAAGGATTTTCCCCAAGCTTCAATTTCAACTTTGATAAAGTGCTTTCCTGAAAAAGTATTTAGAGATATGGGATATGTTTTATTGAATTTTTCCAAACTTCAATTTCAACTTTTTCAAACTGGCGAAATATTGGAAAAATATGACGTATTTCACACTATCGTGTTTTGCCGAATTTGACTATGAACGTTTCCAAGCTTCAATTTCAATCCTTTTCTGGCGGAATCTTGAACATTCGAAGAAATACGATACGTTTCATCGAATTTTTCCAAGCCTCGATTTCTCGAATTTTTGCCTAACAAGGAGCAAAATTCAAAGAAACTGCGACAGCTGGAAATATTTCCAAACTTCGATTTCAATATTTCAATATTTCTCTGAAAAATACATTCGAAGGAATTACAATACGTGGGTGGATGGTTCTGACGCAACGAAAGCGGTTTCCTTCAGCAGGATTATCGATTTTCCGCCACTGACCTTGTTCTTATCCTGCCTGCGAAAGTGCATGGAAATGATAGTGGTAAATTTTCTCACACGAGAGCGTGACGACCATACGAGAACAGGAAACCCACTTTCATAATTAATCGGCATTTCCTGTCGGAAACACGTCTCGTTGCCATACGTGAGTAAAGATTATTGACACGGTATTCCATAGAATAATTTTTCCGTTTAGCATTCACGCAATACGTCGGTGTATGTAGGAGTAACGCGGCGACAGCACGTGCGTCTTGACAATTCAACGCTTGAATAATAATGAATTCAGTGATGACACGTCCTCGGTCAACGCACCAACTATTAAACTACTACTTTTTTTCCTTTTCTCATGGTGATCTTCGATACACAATATCGTCGGTATCGATCGCGTATCGTATGCACCGGTATCTCACAAATGTGATACTCGAGGCTGCACTTCGAACTTTAAAAACAATGTACGTGGCATCGTTATGTCATCCGATTATTGGTGTCGCAAGAACTTCCGTCCCCACTGCGTCTTGTTTTCCAAAGTACAAGATTGTATAAATGGACTTTTGCAATCTAACATGGAGCGTGCATCGGAGCTCTTTGATCCACGGATCAAAGGGTCTAATTCGTAATTAATTTTACTGACACAGGCTGGCTTGGCAAAAACAGATACGCAAATGAAAAGCAAGTTAGATATCACGTATGACGAAATTAGTGGCGTACGTGCTTTCGCTTATGGTAAAAAATCCATCGAGTTTCGTCAATTGACTCGCGACTGGAGCGATCTTTATCACTTTCCGAATTACTCGCGATTTACACTCTGCCATATATTTTCGTGAACTTAGATAATTTTTTTGTGATATTGTAAACAACGAGTTAATTATAACTTTTCGCCGAGATCTTCGTACTTATTTTCGTAATTGAACTTTAATCCGATTGTGAAGCTGTGACTTGCCCTGGATCGATAAATCGTATTTCGTAACTTTCAGTCTCACTCTACGAAATTTTGAGTAACGTTAGCAACCGGATATCGCGTATGTTCGAACACTTCTTGGAAATTTCAAGATAAAATCTATTGAGATATGAGGCAGTTTGGAAAGTTCGTAAATTAGTAGTTTGGAAATCGGTGCGCTCTGTGATAAATTTGAAAAGTACTACGCCGCTTTTATTCGACGCAACGTGCGTTTTGCGAAACGGAATTAATTTCACTTTTAAATTTCACTTTGAGTTTTCCAGCGAACGCAGAAATACAAAAGCAACGCGCAAACGTTTAATATTTATTACCTTCATAATTCGCAAACATACATAAATCTGCATGAACAGCTCGCAGCGTAGAAATTACTCGGACACGGTTCAGAAGAGAAACGAGCCTGTTTCGCGCGAGGTTAATACCGCGAAGGAAGCAGCAGCTGCAAAAACGTAGCCAAAAGCTCTCGTGCAAAAGGGAAGAGAGGTCTAAATATAAAGTTCGGTAATGCACTTGGTTGGAGCGCAACGGGAAGGCATCAGTACCCGATCGAAATTCGCACGCTTGCGAGTTAGTCTCGATTGTACCATTGAAACGTTATTATCGATTGATCGAGGGTTGAACCGTGTCGTTAACTATACACTCTAGGAAACATGTGTGTGATCGGTAAGGATTATTTTCGCCCATTCTTCCGTCGATCAATAGTATACACGAGTGAAAGAGATATCTGATGCTGTTCGTTCAATTCGAATGGCGCACGTCATTCGATCTCGTGATGCGTCGAATTCATTATGTTTACGAGGTTTCGCGGAAGTTTGAATATTTCATTCGACGAAAAAGACGAAACATCCGAAACAATTTATTTCACGCCGTGGCAGAGAGAAAGCACGGCTTTGTGAAATTAATTTTTCCGTTTGCTTCTTTTCGTATCGTAATACAATCGCTCTATGTTCGATGTATATACATCACACGCGTTCACGTCGCTAATGATCATTCGAACGACGGCTGGTTTACCAGCTATAATTGCTTGGCACCGTGCCTGCGTCTGTCGTCATTGCCAGCGGTGCGTCTTCTAAAGTTGATCATTATATATAACAAATTGCCCGATGCGGACAATGAAACGCTTTGCGAAAAAGTTCCTCGTCTATTTTAATCGCGTGTCATTGTAAAACATTGTCGCGGTACACACGCTCGGGAATTTACAGCAGAGATTTTTCGAGATTTCGAAACAACCTGGATCACTTCTAATAACGTTTTTTAATTAATTATATTTCGTGTGATCCAAGTTGCAATCACAATATTCTTCGTTCTCGGAACAAATTGAAGAGTGCTCCAAATTTTCGAGCGAGATCGTGTGCGTTGGCTCTCGGTGGCTTTTTCTTGCACAAAGCGTTCTCTGTTCGATCATTAATTACCACGCGTAGACAGATGTGACCACCGACGAAAATACGATTGATTTTCACAATGATTCACCGTGTTTTCTCGTCGTTTCCAGAACCCAAGGATAAAATCGCAGTGAGGACGCCGGGGATAAGCAAGTCACCCCGGAAGTTCGCGGGGGTTGTGATCGCGATGTGCGGCCTACCAGGTCGTGGAAAAAGCCAAGTGGCTCAGTGCCTTTCGCGCAGGCTCAACTGGAATGGAGATTCCACCAAAGGTGGGGAATGCATGCTTTGTTTAATTGTCGATTGCAAAAGAAACTTGCTCGTTAAATCGCATTTTGCAATTATCTCTGTTTCTCTCCTTTGTGATTTTTTAATTTGCCACCTCATGGTCGAATTACGCGTGCAATTTACGACTCTGACCATTAAGTCCTTGTTTTTTTTTTTTTTTTTTTTTTTTTTTTTCATTACTACTCCTTACACATTACGCTTGATAGGCTTCTTACGCAAATCAATATTTATGACGTTAATGTTTTTCTTTTTCAAGTCCTATGTCGTAATATGCGATGCGACGATGCATGTTCTTGCTGATCTTTTTCTGGACTTTTGCAGCCTACACCCTTTCTATACATAGAAAGTCGTCCCTAAATACGTCCCTACGCGTACGATCGATCAGAATATTCTGGTTGCTTAAGTCTTTCTTAGACTTTCTCAGACCCTCAGACAGAAATACGTGCTTCCGCCGTTGTTACAAGCTAGTAATTAAACTATCGTAATTATTCTCTGCAACTATTTCTGAGGAACGTTTCGAATACGATATTTTCTTTCAGTAATGAGGGTCAGCGACTACCGAAGGAAAAGGCTGGAACCGTACGGAGAGGCGGTGTCGCACGAGCTGTTTCGCCCAGATCACACGGCGAACGCAACTTTGAGAGCACTGGCCCAACGAGACGCGATGCACGACTGCGCTGCGTGGCTTGCAGCCGGGAATTCCGTAGCTGTAAGCATCACCGGCAAATTAGACACGAAACGAAAGACGAAATTAGATGGCGAAAGCGCGAAATCGCCCTCGATCTGGAGATGAATCCAGCATCGAAACGAGAGCAGGCGCGAGTCCCTTTGATCGAGAACGATCAACAAGAATTAAGAAAAACTCGACTCGATGAACGAGAACAGACATTGATTGAAAATGATCGAAAGAGAGGAGAAAAAAAGAACACGTGCTTTTTTTTTTTTTTTTTTGTTCTCAAAATGTATTCACGTCAGTAAAAATGGATTAGAAGGGGCAGTAGTCGTATTTATACATAGATCACGCTAACTGCGCGATAAAACGGAGGCCAGTCAAGCCAGTCTGCCTTTCTCCGAGCCGAATCGAACCTCGTCGTGCAAGTTTTGCTTGGTCAATATTTTCAACAACGTGCACTAAGGTTCCACGATGGAAACCGCAATGGTTCACGTCAGTTCATTACTCTGTAGATGGTATATGCGTCAGAAATAGTCGAGAATACTCGAATAACTTCGTTCTGTGTTAGCGAAGGCCGGATCTTTAAAACAAATTTCACATTCTGGAATTAATTCGAAACTCCTCTTGATTATTTCCAAAAATGTTAATTCGGCTGTCGTTGATATTCTGTCAAAACTCCGCGAATTTAAAATTATTTATTTTTAAAAGACTCTCTCTCTCTCTCTCTCTTTCCAAGTATATACCACATTATAAAATATTCACCAAGTAACATCCGGATCATGAAATCAAAATAAACTCGTTGTATATTTCAAAAGCAAATGTTGTTTGGTCACGAGTTTATGTCAAAAAGCGATTTAGTCTAAATGTAGAAAAAAAAAAAGAAAAAGAACAAAGAGAAACGAGATTGAAAATAAATGCCTATTCGAACGAAACGCGGAAATGTGGAAAGAGATAGATCGAAACTTGCACTTGCGAGCCGCTGCAACTAGTTTTAAGAGTTTTCCTGTTTGAAGATCCTGGACGCCACGCTGGTGACACGAGCGCAGCGCGCCGAGGTCTTCGACTATTTTTCCGGGCAGCTCGGTTATCGCGTCCTTTTCATCGAGTGCGTCTGCGACGATCCGGTCGTGCTGGAGCGAAATTACAAGGAGATATTGCGCTACAGCGCCGATTACACTGGCATGAATCCGGTAAGAGCCGAGGAAGATCTGCAGCTGAAGATAGCTCATTACGCGGAATCCTACGAGCCGATGGACGAGAAGACTTATCCGCGTATCCGCGTAGACACGGCGAGCATGGACATCGAGGCTCGTAAAGTGTCAGGCCACGTGGAGACGAGCGTTCTTGGATATCTTGGAAGCGTCACGATCAAGCCGCACACTCTTTACTTCTCTCGGGTTGGTAATCGATTAAATATAATACAGTCGGTTGGTTACTCAACCACCCTAGTCTAGTTTCAACGCTTCGAGTCTCTTAATATTTTTCAACGGATAATAATATCGAGAGCAAATGTTTTCAAATGGCAACGTGCGTCACTGAGTTGAGCCAGGTCGTGACTCGTTGGTAATTATTGCATCAATTAACGTATCTAAGCATGAAGCATCTTCATCTCGAATTGTTTTGATACAACGCGCGTTGAAAACATGAGCTCGCCTTTCGAGAAACTGGTTATCTTATCGAAAATGTGACTCATTCTTCGATCGAATTAGACGATCTTTGTCAAATTGAGATCTTATCCCGAGAAATTGATATTTTTACTCTCAAGTGAATGTCACCGGACCAATAATGGCAATCGAATCAAATTAGTTGGTTTTAGAAATTGAAAAATTGCAACAACAATTCCATTTAAATATTTACAGATTTAAATTTTATATTTTATATTTATCCGCTCGTGAAAATAAGTGTTATATTTGAGAAGTGACTGGAAAATTGAGCTTCTATTGTGTTACAGCACGGTGAAAGCGAGTACAACGTGTTGGGTAAAGTCGGCGGTGACGCGGTTCTAAGTGCACGCGGCGAGAGATACGCACAGGCATTGGCCACTAAGTTCAACGCTATGCGTATTCCTGACTTGCGCGTGTTGACTAGCCGTCTCCGAAGGACTATCGCCACTGCACGTGGCGTTGAGGCGCCTCAGGAACACGTGGCAGCACTCAACGAGCTTTACGCTGGCATCTGCGAGGGTCTCTCGTACGAAGAGATGCAGGAGCATTATCCGCAGGTAATTCGAGATCAGAAACGTCCATCTCCTTGCCGTTTCCGTTTCGAATGTTGTTAAGTAAGTTTATCAGACAGCCAGTTTAGTTCGATTGAGCATTACGCGGAAAGGGATTGTTATCTCTCTGGAGTGTTAGTTTCTTTGGATCGGTCTAGAGAACTGATTATTGCAAGTACTTGTAATTTACTTGGGTATTAAGTTGAAAAGGATGTTATCTCTTTAAAGTATCGATCTGGAGAACTAATTGTAAGTAGGTCAAGCTTCAGATTTATTGTTTTGTTTTGGAAAATTTGAGGAAAATATAAGAATTCATATCTAATCCATTTGCAAGTGATATCAACGCGATCTGTATCTCAATAATTGAAAACGCGAATGAAGTTATTGAATGATCTAAATCTGCGTGATCTATTATATAATCTGCATTCATATAAACAAAGAGTTTACGAGTCACAGAACTGTTTACCTTCTGCCAGCCTTAATTCATTTATCCCTTCACGATACGAAATTCGTGCCGATCAAAATGCTAATTAAAAATTTACATCGCGAAACCGTATCGATCAACGTCGATAATTAGAAGAATACGAATTGGAGCTCATTCATTCTTATCACTACAATTGTACAATAAGCGAATTCGTTCAAAAATTTCATTCGAATAAACAAAGTATCTACATAATTGTAACTTATATGACATCACATCCCACTTTATTCACTTCCATTCATTTAATTCACTCAAAATTTGGCCCGCTATACCCGAATATATCAAAGCGATTCACTCACGAATTCTTCTTCCCAGGAATTCGCTTGGCGCGATCAGGACAAGCTACGTTATCGTTACCCGTGGGGCGAGAGCTACATCGACGCGATGCAACGCGTGGAACCGGTGATAGCCGAACTGCAGAGATCCAATAACATTCTGGTGGTATCGCATCAAGCTGTTCTTCGCTGCATCATTGGCTTCTTCACCGACAAGAAGCCAGAGGAGCTGCCGTACATGGAGGTGCCGCTGCACACCATCATCCGAGTGAGCAGCCACGGCTACAATTACAAGGTTGACTTCTTCAAGTTGCCGATCGAGTGCGTGAACACGACGCGCGTGAAGCCGACGAATTGCAGCGCGGACAGAACCGCCGACGATGCACTGATCACCGTGCCGCCGCACTTCGACATACCGGACCCATGGAGAAATCCTGGCAGCGGACCGACACTCGTGCAACAACACTGAGGAACCGCTCGACGATCTACGATCACGTCCAAGCTTCGATCTCTGTTCGGTTGCAATAGCTGGCGATTTCAACGATGACGTCTTCTTGGGATCTTTCTACTTTTGAATTTGGGAAGGATGAGGGGAAAGGGCGGGAGGGGGAGGTGATTGATGAGAATGTTGGTAATACCATGCGAACGAAATTGATAGAAAAGATATTTTTTAGTACGTATACATGAATGTAGATCGCTTTTAAGATTAGTTTTAAGCGCAACAGATTCGATGAGACGGGAAGTCGGTGGACGTTGATATCGACGAGGAGCAAGAAACTCTCGATCGGACGCAAGTATGCGGAGGTGTTCGAAAATATTGGCATGTTAGAAAAGATATTACAAGATGGACAAGAGGTAACTACAAGTCTTTACAAATTGTAAGATACTGATTGTACTTGTGTTTTTGAAATATTCCTGGGAGAAATTATCAATTTCGATTTTATCGGCGAAACACATTCGGGACAATCGAATACTTGCGTTTTGATCGCGAGTTTGTTACAAGAGGTACTACTTTTTGATAGATAAAATATGATTGATAAATATGTAAATCGCATGAAGGCCGAGGCTTGAAATTTATTTCAGTAATTTCCTTGAAATTGCGTTTGAAACTTTGGTCGTTCGATCGGTTTATCGTCGAGTTCCGTCGCTTTTACGAAAAAGTTCTCCGACCGTCACAGGTTCTTTCCTTCGTCGATTCTGTTCCAATTGCATTGGCAGCAATTCTGTATCCTACTGCTGGAGCCCTCTATACGTTACGATTTAAGCAGTTTAGTTTTAGTAATTGTAGATCAGGCTATAGATGTTGTATTAGTTTATAATATACACGTAAACGGTAGATCATACGACGAATATTTTAATTGTGAAATATTATTGGCGAGAAGACAGACAGATTTTGAATCGTAGGTTTGCGAAGCATGTCTCTCTCGTATTAATATTTTTTTATTTCCATACATTTGGAGCAACGAATACACACCAAGGACAATTATTGTTATATGATAGAATCTTAGACTTACGTATCTTTCGTTTCCTCAGTTCCTAGAGCAACGACTTTATGCTTCGAAATTTCAACGATACTAGGACCTTTGTCGCTGTAATCGAGACATAGAATAGCGTAGCGTTGATCAAACTGATCTAGTATCATTGTTAACAAGAGAGTGACAAACATTATATTTGTAGAGCGTGAAAAAAAGAAATTGATCTGTGCATCTTTATATACAGAATCGACGATGATACAACGCCACGTTGTTTTTTTGTTCTTTCTTTTTTTAAAGGAAATATTCAAGCGGTATTCGCACAAAGTATTTTCTCTCTATGATGAAAAACGCGAGAAATGGTGGAGACGATTACAAGGATAGAAAGGACTGACATTGCTATACGAGAAGCGCGTTCTTTTGTCAATGTACTGCTGCGTTTCAATTAGGATTAGATCGTATCTCGTAAACCGCATATATATGCATAATAACTAAAACTTCACTAGGCATCACGCGGAGATCCTCGAGCAATATATCTACCCTGAGACATTCTCGGGGATTCGCGACTGCAGAATGCAAATAGAATGATAAGGGAAAAAAGAAAAAAGAAAAAAAAGAAAATGAATAAGCCTTACGAAGCCTATTTACTATGGGACTCACGACAGAGTATAAATGAATTTTTTTATAAAAGTCGAACGAACAATTATTTGTCTGTTGTCTAGTCTATCTATTGGCGAACACTCTCATGTCCTTGTTTTCTTTTCCTAATTGAGAAAATGAAAAGTTGCAGAGCGTTTCTTAGGTGTTAAGTTATACTGTAGATATCTTTCAAACCCCTTTGTTCTTTTTCTTTTTTTCTTTTTAATTGTACATTATGAATAAATGTTTTTTACAAAATGTCGATGGTACTCTCGTTCTCCAGTATCGTGTCACCAAGTCTCGTAACTTAATTATTACTCACTCGATAAATAAATACACTTTAGAATGCAAGTTACTGTATAATGGTAGAAAAATAATTTATAGCGTGACTTCAGCTATCATGATTTTCGTAAATTAATATTTGACGACTTGTCTGAATGACTAGAATGATTCGTAAGAACCAGGTACTATTCTTAATCTAGCCTGACTAGATGAAAAACTATTACTAAATAGACCGCGAATTTTTATACACACTGAGAAATTTGTAAATCTACACGCTACGCAAAGAAGTATTTTATTTTCTTTATGAAAATATAAATTTGCATAAATATCCGCAGTTTATTAACACATCAACTATTACCGTGGTCACTTATAAATATTTTGGAACGAACAAAGTACGACTTGATAATACTATAGAAAAATGCGCATTCATTGCACTTCCGTTGTAACGTAATATTCCGCTTCGCGAGGCAGTCGACGTGTTAATAAACAGATTGCGGGATTTTATGCATGTACGGGAACTTTTAAAGTGCAAAAATGCATACACTGCACTTTATATTCAAAATACGAGACTCCTGACAACAGTTAATAAGTAAAATAATTTTCCACCTACGTTTTCTAATTATTTCCATAAAGATATAAGTTTGCATAAACATCCGCAGTCCGATCTCAATAAGCTCTCAAAAACCCTGATTATAGAAAACCTTGATCAAAAAGAGATACCTACAATGAAGAGATAAAAGAAATATTCTGGGAATACTTTCACCCTTATTTCCAAGCGTCTTATGTACCCGATCTCATCAACTTGGCAGTGTAATCTCTTTGTTTACTGGCTAAGTGCAGGTCCAAACTTCTCAGCATTCTATCCCGAATCTCTTGGTCGCATGACGAAGAACTTCTCCGTAAACCAGTTCTACGATGCGCCACCCTCGGCTCGTTCCTCGAGTAGATACCCAGTCGAAATCCGGAGTAATTCGAGTCGGACGACTTGCCGTCTCGCCTCGTCTCGCGAGCCACATTCTTCATGAACTCGACGGCAGTTCTGCGACAGGTATCGTAGCCCAACAGCTGGATCCTTTTACCGTGGATCGCTTCTAACTGCGAGTTACTCGGTTTGTTTTTCGCCGCTCGGTTCAGTATTGCCTCGGCGGAGTCCGGCGTCCCGGGAAGATTCTTGAATACTTTACGAAGAACCTCCTTTGTCAAGTCCTCCTCGCTGCTGGATTCGCCTGGCGGAAAAATTCCGTATGTTAATTGCTTCAACTCTGTTTAATTAGCCAAGAAAAGGTAAGAAGGTAAACAGAGCTACGTAATTTCGAGTGATTAATATTGATCGACTTGTTTCATTTTACCAGCCAGAGGTTGGGGACATTGATGGTTCTCGAAACTGTTTGGAAGAACTATTATTTTCTATGGAAGTTACGAAGAACGAGAATTAACGAAGGTATCGATTTAGGTGATTTTAATATTCGTTTAATAACGTTTGTTTACTTCGATACTTTCTTTTGCTTTAGTACCATTAATTAAAATTAAACTTTACTCAAATTATTTTAGTAATATTCGTTAAAATTCCTTTTAGACATCGTTTCTGGAATATAACGAAGAACCGAAAACTTTCCCACCCCATTGTGTACTTAGACTCTTACGTCGTTCTCATTTCTTTCGTACTAATTATTATTGAAGGAACAAAACTGTTACTTCGATAAATAAGAAAAGACAGAGATCGAATAACGTTTTATATTATACAAATAAGCTTGCAAGCAACTTATGTACTGGAATATCGAAGCAGCCCTCAATGATAGACGCGAGATACTCTGAGAAAATTTCTAAATTCTGAGAAGCGTGGCAAATTAACGATCACGGCAAGGAGAAAACGGCACCACCCGTGAAAACCAAAGAAGACGCTGCAAGGATCGTGTAATAGGTTTCTAAATTAACGTTACCAAGATCGCTGGTATGGTCAGTGGCGTATGTTCCGTCTTTGATCTCCCGTTGCAGCTCCAAGATTCTGGCCAGCGCCAACTGCAGATACTCTTTGGCATTCGGTTCCTGCATAAACACCACGTGTGCACGCACGCTGTTAAATACCCGCTGTTTACACGCCACGCTCTCGAAATGCGAGAATAATTCACTCGTAATCGGAATTTACCTCCATCGATCTGGCCTTCTTGTTATCGTTGTTCCGATCCGCCAGACAGGGGGCCTGTTTCACACCGACACAGCTCGAATTAATACTCAAACTCGCATAGCCTAGAGAAACATAGCTTCTCGAACCACTTACCGACGAGTATCTTTTCATTCTTACTGAAATCCTGTCGAACCGTGGAGCAACCTCACCATCGATCCACCCACGCGACCTTTCACGAACGATTTCACACGACAACACTCTCTTCGTACTCACCCCCGCTCTCTCTCTCTCTCTCTCTCTCTCTCTCTCTCTCTCTCTTTCTTTCTTTCTCTCTCTTTCTCTTCACGAAACGAACGAGTAGCCGAAAATAAATCCCGTGCCCTTCGCTTAAGCTTCCGTTTCTTTTTTCTTCTTCGCCGGATCAGAGATGCTTCCCCTTTCGAGCTCTAATGGCCCCTTTGTCCGTGCAGTTTCTCCTCGCTTCTTTCCTCCCCTCCCCCCCGTCCCGAGAGGGAAAATTCGTTTCCTCGTTCCAGGGAATGGCTCGTTCGAAAGGCAGAAAGACCGTTGACTGGCGTCGATGGGCATCGACTAACCAAAAACCTAGTGCATAGTAGCTTGTCGCAGGAGAGACTGTTGCGAGGGTGACGGTTTGCCATGGCTTCACCCCCTCTCCAGTTCCCTTCGGAACCCCTTGCACTCGGTCACCCCTGCCCTGCAGATGCGGACCATTGTATCGCCGGGAACCCCTGTTTGCTCGACGCGTGCCCTGCGTCCGATAGAAACGGCTGGCACGCGCCCCTTGCACGAAAACTTTCACCGAATACGTTACGAACAAACCCAGAACGGTGGCTATTGCAATGGTGTTTTTGTTCCTGGTTTTACCAAAGATCGCGGGGATAAGGCTCCGATGAATCTCGCTCGACCGGTTACTTATCGATTCTTGTGTAAATTGAAATGGGATGCAGAGGGGAGTTTCTTTTTTTTTTTTTTGTTCTCTGTGGGAATAAGGTATTATATACTGAAATTGGGATCCTATATTTGAAATCTTTTGTTTTAGCTTTTTACTGATTTGAAATTTACATGCCGGTGAAAGCTAGAGAAATTTATTATTGACGTAACAGCTTAAACTAAATGTTTCAAGTTCATGAGGCTGGCACTGGCACTAAACATTTCGCTGTCGTTCGCATCTCTCTTGCACTCAATTGCAGAAAGGAGGCGTTTGAAATTTCGTAGAAAAGGAGTGAATTGCCAAATAAAGTTCCAACTGGCAGGCCAGCTGCTAGAGAACCATCGCACAAATTCTTCCATTCGAAGTTTGTTTTTTCGACAATTAAACGCTGTTATCGATCGCGGCATGATTTCGCCCTGTTCGGAAAAATTCTTCTCAGACTCCTCCGATTCCTGCTTTTAACCAGTCTTCACCCGCTTTCCTTTTGAGCGAAGCGCGAGCTCTCGAAACGATCGTCTTATTTATTTTCTTCGTGAAAGTTTTCGTTGTTTGGAGAACACTGCAGTTTGTTGAAATGGCTGTTTGACCGAGAGAAAGTCATAATTTTAATCATCCTTTGTTATCTAATTTGTTTTCTTTCTATTTTTAAATTCTTGAGAGTTTTCAATTAGAATGTTATCGAGTGAGGTATACGTATACTGAAAAGTTTACGCTAATATTTGTAACAGAATTTTGAGAATTTCTTGCAAGAAGGAAATAGTTTTAATTTAACGTTGTCAGACTTTTGAATTCGAGGCTTTTTTCCATTAGGAGACCCAGAACTAGGTGAAATAGATCTCCACTTATCACCTTCGCGTAACTTAAAAGTTACGCACCTATAATTTCATTTTCTCTGCTCATCAATGCAATATTTAAAAAAAAAAAAAAAAATACTCAATATAATGATCACTGCCTCTCAGATTTTGAATTTAAATAAAACACGATGAATAAAGTTTGCCCAAAAATCTTTAGAAAGTACCAGCGACCTTCTCGAAAGATTCACCAGCCACTCCAGCACACTGCCGGGCCTGCACCGAACCGAAATAACAAAACCCTCCTGTCCCGTCTCTTTTGAATCAATTTTTATTCTCGCCACACAGAAAGATTGGGGTAGGGAGTAGGAAGAGGGTAAATTGAGAGAGAGATTTCTGTCGAACACAGCAGAAATTGGTTAGCTCCAGGTTGTTTAATACACACACTCGTATCGATTCACTTGGAAACGCTTCCGTCGCTTCGTGGCCTAATTACAGTCATAATAGGGGGTATCGAGAAGACGTCCAGACGTTATCTGAACGACGGGTACGTCTATAACGTACGGAAACGCGACGGCCAATAGACGTGAGGATGCTAAATCCTGTTAACAGGAGTGCGCGTCAAACAGGGAATTCCCGATTAACAAGCGAAGGGGGCAAGGTCGTCAGACAGAACACAATTAATGCACAGAATCCCCTTTATTCGCCGTCTCTAATTAAATTTTGCCACGCGATTCAATAACGCTAGCTTCTCTCCTCTCTCTCTCTCTCTCTCTCTCTCTCTCTCTCTCTCTCTCTCTCTCTCTCTCTTACGTTGTGCACTCGGTCGCGATACGATCCATTAGAGTAGCTTTCGTTGAAGAATCGACGAACACTGATAATCGCGATAAGAGATAGGAATTGGCCACCATAGTGGGGAGAGGAAAGGATTGCAATTGGCCAAGAATATCGACAGGTTGGTGGTGAATTAATTCCACTTGCCATCGAGAACGGGATAATTAAGGTTTGATGGAACGGAGATGGTTCTTTTTGCCTGGAAATTCGAGTTTAGATTACGATCGATCTTTTATTACTTTTAGCGACGCGCACCGCGAGAAAACAGCGTAGCTGCGTCGCGGACGATTAGTCAAACGGTCGAAAGATAATTGTTCAAAGCGATCGGAATGTTAGTTACTGCTTGCCTCGGGAACATTCCGTTGTTCGTTTGTTACTTGTTACTCTCAGAGGCAATTGGTCGAGAGTGTCCTTCGTAGCGATGAAAATATTAGCTCCGTTTCAAGAACCGGTTCCCATCGACACTGAACTAGCGATCAAAATATTAGCTAGCTTCTTAGGGAGTTTTGAAACTCACTCTCGAAACAACTATACGTTTCTTCGTGGATCGATTAGAAAATTATCGCGATTGAATGCGTGTTCCTCGTTTCGAGAACCGGTTCTTTTCATCGTTCGAGGATCAAAGTGTCGCCTCGTTATGTTGCGTTGAAATTGGTAAAATATCAACGACGTTGAGAATTCTTAACTTAAGTCTCTGTAGTTGTACATATGTACGTCTGTTCGTTGATCGACTGGGAAATTATCGCTGTTGAACGCCTCGAAAGCATGTACTTTTTTTTTTTATTTCCAAGAACCAGTTCCTCTCGTCACCGAATCGTCGTTCACTCGAGGATATCGAAGTATCGTTTCCTCTATTTCGCGTCGAAATCGGTCGAAAATCCTTAACCTAAATTCCTAAAGCTGAAGCTGCGCGACTGTTCTTTGATCGATTAAAAAAAATCATCGCGAACATCGCACATTATAATGAGAAGTTCATTGAAGTGTTGCTTAATTTCTATTACTTGCAATGGTCCTCTATTTTCAACAGCTTCCATCGTTGAAGTTTTCTTCGTTCGTCTCCATGTCGCGCGATCGTTCTCAAACAAAAAAAAGAAAAAAAAAGGAAAGCAAAATTGGCTGACGATCTAAAGTTTTCAGGTGGGCCTCGCAGTCTCGTCGGTTAGATCGTAGAGAGCAGTCGTGTTCAGTTCTTGAGTGTCTCTACGAATCGTGGAGGTGAAGCTGGTCTCGTTGAGGGTGTCGCGGCCACCGCAACGCCGCCTTCGCGAAAAACTCACACCTCGGCTGCCGTTCCTGTCCGAACTCTCTATCGTCTCTGTTCGACAAACACCGCGGCTCCTCCTTGACACGCACCAACAAAGATATCTGTTGAATCTATAAAAAAAATCTCTCTTCATCGATCTCTATGCGCATGTATTGCGAACATTCATATTCAAATATCACGAGCTTTTTTTGTTTCGTTGCGTATTTTGTTCGCTCACATTTCTAAAATTTAACAAACGTTTTTTTTTTATTTTTTTATTTTTTTTCCGTCGACGAACGTATTTGTTTTCGGCTGTAGTCGTTTGTTTCCATTTGCGGTTTTATAGTTGTTTATTTAATCGATTACGATATGGATAACAGGAAAATATATGAATGAATATGTATCGTGTGAGTAATTAGTTTTTTTTTTTTTTGGGGGGGGGCAGTGTAATGGCGAAATTAAACATTCAAAAGGATGTGGAGAAGACGAAACGTGTAAATGCGAGGAGTGAAACGCAAGGATCGCGAGCACGTGTATATGTTGTTGCTTCTTGCGAATAGTGGTTGGCCTTGTTAAGTGTTGTTGACATTCGATTCGTGCTGTTATACTCGCCTCTTGCGAAATGTCCCGCTGACAAAGTAAAGGGCAATTGGATTAACGCAGCTGTTGACGAAGCTCAAACAGAAGCCAACGATCCTGAAGGCGTGCCAGAAGTCGTCGAAGTCTTGCTCGGACGACGGAGAGAAGTGGAACCACAGCATGAACACGTGGTACGGCAGGAAGCAAATGAAGAAGATAACTACGAAGGAGATCACCATCTTTCCGACCTGTTGATCACAGCGAACGAGAGAGGCCTGTTAAATTGAGGTATTTAACCAGCAGTGTCTGATCTGATTAACTTAAAATTTAGATACATGCATGTTTCTCGGTAGAAAGTAAACTAGGTTAATCGAATGTAGATTAAACTTTCGATCGTTTTTTTTTTTTTTTTTTTTTTTTTTCTTGAATCAGCGGCATTAGGTGTTTGAGAAATTTTCCTCGACTCGACTAAATGTAGATTAGACATTTAAACAACATTTCTTCCTGGAAGCGGTAGAAGTTTCTTCGTTTCTTTCGTGCGCCTTTTTTCTTCTGCTTCTGAAACTTTTCCACTTCTGTCCCTCATTTTAGTTTCTCCTCTTCAGTTGCTTCTTTCGTCTTATTTGTTTTTTAGGTATCGTTGACATTCCTATTTTTCTCTCTTTTTTATACCTTCCTCATCATCTCATTCGTCCCTTTCGCTCTCCTCTATTTCTCATTTCCTTTATTTTCTTATTCCATGTCGTGACGTCTCTCGCGCAACACATAAAATTTCAACCGAACTCGCTCTCCTCCTCGCGCCCGTTCGGAAACATTTCTAAGTTGAGATTTCACACGTACAACGTCAAATCGATCGCGACCTCCGGTTTTTAATCGCGCAACATCTTCGCTCGAGCAACCTGTATTATGTAATGCGCCGTGACGTTTGAGATATTATTGAGAATAAATCCATTCGAGTTTCGGCGTTCAACTTCCATCGCAGAAGTCCTTCTTATCGGACAGATAAATAGAGTCAGTGGGAAGGGAAGGTCGCCGGGTGAAATTGCCAGGGGCGTTTCGTTTCAGATTCTCCTTGCCATCAGTCGGAAACAAAACGCGGCGATGAACGCAATATTCCATCCGATCATTTCGGTTTCTCGTACGCCGCGTCTCCGAATGGATTGCCGACAGATAAATTGAATCTCGTCCCAGAGGATAACTCCTGTTATCTCCGAGCGATTTGTCATCGTTGCTGTATTTATAGGTTGGTCGATAATATTATTTGTCTGGAAACTCTGTTTTCGCGAAACACATCGATCGCCGATCTCGTCGTCGTAGAACCACGGTTTCTGTCGAAACGCAGACGACGCAACGATTGAATGCATTCGAGGAAAAGTTGGGGAAGGTTTAGAACCGTGATCCCGTCGTATCTTCGATTGACACGCTTCGATGCCACCTTCCTGCCGGGTGATTCCAGGTGAATTGGAATATCGAATTGTTTGAGAAGTCGCTTTTAAACTTCACCGATAAGATAGCACTCCCTAAAGAGGATGATTTTTACAGTCTCTATTTTTAGATAAAATTAATCAACAATCGAACATTACAGACAACGTTGCACGTTGGTAATAATAATATAATATAATATAATATAATATAATATAATATAATATATATATATATATATATATAATAATATAATAATGTAATACCCCGTCAGAAGTTGTGTGATTTTACACGTAAATTTTCTTTCGATCCACTTATACAGTGCAGTGCTTTTATCTCTACTTGACCAATTAAATAATAACGGGATAAAGAAAATTGCAGATAAAATCTGAAAAGCGTTGTCACGCTAACATTTGTATCATAAAACATACTTGTTGCGTTTAAACATTTTACTGTTTACAACAAATGCTGTTACAAGCAATTAAATCCACATTAAGTAGCAAAAAGTGTCCGAAAGAGCGAGAACGTTTTTAACGCGCAGACGTTGGATTAAACATTCCAACTTTTAAATTAAGAGCCAACGTTGCACGAACGCAATATTTTAGCTGCAGTTTCTTTTATCACGCCAATTACACCCGGAATTGCGAGAGAGAATTCGCTCAACCCGTTAATCAGAAAAGATGAAAGTTAGACAAATCGTCGGGATATTTTCTTATCTTAAATAAAAGTTTCGTCGAAATGCTTGACTTAAAAGCGCGAAGGGAAGTGCGAGGTTCTGTAGAGAATAGATTGCGCGAAGGGAAAGCAAAAAAGTTGAAGGGTTGCTTTGATAGAAGAGATAGGAAACTTCTGATGGTCGATGCATCGATGTGATTCAAGAGAATCGATCGTGTTCACTCCGAATGCGAAAAGTGTAATAATTGGTTGTCCTGCGATATTGTCTGAAAATGTCTCGATGCATAATGATCTATAATTAGTTCTCTCTTTCTCTCTGTTTTTATTTCTTAGTAATTATGCCACGCATTCTTCCATTTATCGGACTTGTCTTGTTTCATTGATGCTTAGTCGTTAACATTGTGCGAGTTTATTGTCGATCGTATCGAATATTACGTAAGTGGAGGATAGTTCTGTCAATGACTTGTTTCTCACGCTAAATTGTTCGCAATTGAGCCTCTCGGAAGATACGTTGATCGACTCCACTTTTTTCTTCGTCTCGTTACTTGGGTGCGTAATTGGCATTGGTCATTTTCTTCGAAATAAATAATTCCACTGATCAAAATTAATCGGGACGAAATTCGAGTTTATCATTTCTTAGTCTTTCTTCTTCTATGTTGGCTAGTTCGTGTACTCTGGTGATTCGTTTCAGTTTTGTCAAAACTGACCTAGATTTAATTAATTTGGCAGAAGCGTTAGAAACGACGTGTCTCTGACGTTAATAATTGGTAAACATGGGTTTCTTTCTCGCAGTTTTGCTAATTTAAAATTATTCTCAGTCCGCTATTGTGTACTTTTCCAAAAAATTTTCACGCGAAACTACGTCACTCTATAAGAGTAGCAGACATAAAGAAATTTCTAACTGTAATTCACCATTCTATACTTTTTCGCTCGAGCAAAAACTAAATTTCACTGGAAATTTTGTTATTTCGCGAAAGAGTAGCATGCAAATACTATTGCAATTTTAAACTTTTAACACTCTGTGTGCCCGTTCGAATCGTTTACGAATTTAATTTCAATCGTTTGAAAATTTTATTACAAATGCCAAAACGAAGAAGAAACTTGAAACTTCTGCGCTCGCTGAATCGTGTGTAAAAATTGAATTCCACGCGAAGGTGTTGCAATTTCACAGAGAAAAACATCGATTCGTCAATCATACCTTTTTCCGTGCTCTGATTTGCTCCATGCGATGACACCCGGTGGACAACTCGCCGGGCATATTCCTGGTGGAGAGCTCGAGGTGTCGTGCCATTCCCAGATAGAATCCAGTTATCACGAGAAGCGGTATCGCGTAGTAAGCTAGGAACTTGAACATCACCATCCCCTTTTGATAGCTCTCGCCTGCGTCCCGGAACGAGATATGAAATGTACGACTTCGTGCGTATGACACATGGCTGAATGCTCGAGTGGAAGACCCGTGGGCGAGCAACAATTTCACTTTCAATCCGCGCGAGATACGAAATCGGTGTGAAAGCGGCGTAAGCCAATATTTCGCCTATTTAACGAAACACCGCACTTCGAAATCGCGCTGTCGCGACATATGACATACATATAACACATATAACACTTTGCAATGGCTCGTGTAAAAAGAGACGCAACTATTCTACCGCGCTTTACTTGACTTTCGTTTCATCCTGATTTACACCGCTTTCGCGTTCAAATGATTTATGCTTCCACTAACAGACATTTCTAAAGAAATGGAGCCCAAATAAAAATTCGTTTCGCGTGTATTACGCGTAAATACACCGCTCTGAATGTTTTATACGTTTCTGCGTATCATCTACGCACTTTTAAATTTCCCATAAACGCGTAAAAATCTAGTTATGAATAATGAACAGGCACTGGTCATCTGGTGCAGTTGGTGAAGAAATAAAATACAAAAATGTACCAACGTTAATGACTTGTTCTCTCTCTTTCTCTCTCTCTCTCTCTTTCTCGGACCGAATGAGATATTTTTCCCTTTGCAAAGAGAACAGAAATGAATATTTAAACGAGGGTACTCACCGAATTCCTCGGGGAAAGGGCTGCAGATGAGGATGCTGTTGTTGTTCAGCAAAGGTACGATCGGCACGTGGGAGAAAAAGGCAGCTGGCATCGCCAGAATAATCGCCAGTATCCAAATAAGGCAGGCTATTAGTATTGTTAATGGTTTCGCACTCAGTCCGGCTACGTGGCGGCGAATGGGATTTACGATCGCGCAGTACCTACGGATGCAACACTTTCTTTTTTGTCGGACATCAATTTTTACGGGAACTTTATCCCTGGAATACTGCAAATGGAGTACTTTGTCTGCCATTTAAACTTGATCTCTTAGAGGTGGTTGTTGCTGTTATTACGCACGTCACGCGGATTATTTTTAACAAACGGTTGTTGTTTACACGCCTTTGCTTCTCACCTTATTTCGTTGAAATTCTGACAAATTGGGAATGTTCTAAATCCCAGTCCAGGGTAAACTTGTAATTCGCAAGATTTCGTTTGATTTGCGTTGCATTCACAAACAACTTGCAGTCACCGCGAACATTTGTGCAAATTCATGTTTATTTTATTGGCACGTATATTGCCAGCTAAGTATCGTACTGGATAAGAATTTACCATTTTGTTATTTTTGTCATATTCATTTTGTCATTACGAATAGGAGAAGAGTTATCTGAATGAACTGAATCAAAATTCAAGCCCTTGTACAAAATCAAACACGGAGAAAATCGCAGAATCGGAGAATCGAATTGCATTTGTTTCGAGGCGAGTCTCGCGCTAATAAGATTACAATTTTCTAGGTTATAGTATCGCAGGATTAAAGTCTCGTCGTGGCTCATTCAATCAATTCTTCGTCGTTTCAATCGTTGGAACGTGAATTTTCGTCGACGAGTGCGATCAATTGATTTCGCGGAACGACGAACGCGCGGAAAATTGAATGTTTTAGAGTATCGCTTGGATTACTGATTAAACGGACGAACGACCGGTCGATCGGTCCATTAACGAGACGGAACTTGGGCCAAGTTACGACGGCCAACCAATCCCTGAGACAACAATTTCCTTCGAGCGTAACTGGGTTTGACAACTTACCTCTCGGCTGATAACGCGGTCAGAGTGAAAACTGAGACGCCGATCGAAATATCCTTGGCGCACTCGGACAATTTGCAAACTGCCAGGCCCCACGGCCACGACTCGATCGTATAGAGGAACGACGTGAACGGCACGCATGTTATGATCACCTGAAACACGCGTGAGAAATTAACAAGAGGAGAGGGCGCAGCAGGAGAGAGAGAGAGAAAGAAAAAAAGTCACGTATCCTATTTCCACGTGAAAATCGTTGGCTGGTGTTTGTCGGCGTGAATTTTATCGAAATTTTCTATCAATATTTGTCCGCACGTCGAGAAAATTTAATTGGTATCGATTCGTTGTGAACGACGTGAACGAGTCCGTTTTGACGAGTGGAGGGTAAAATCGAACAATAAAATAAACGACATTCGATATAATATTTGCGTGAATATCGAGCGAAGAATAATATTATCCCTTTGCACTCGAGGCCTTTTTTCGCGCGGCGAACCATCAACTCGAGACGTTTCGCAGCATTTTTGGCGAATTTCTTACCCCTAACTTAAAATTATTACACACACAAATTAATGTATAAAACTTTTATATTTTAACATTTTATATATCTTTACACCTTTACGAAGATAATTTCTTAAATATTAGTCTCTGTAATTTTGCTGTGTATGATATTTCATATAACAATTGCCAAGATGCATGCCCGGCTTGTCGGGGCAAGTATTACAATAATATGTTGTTTGATGTCTTTTGCCGGGTTTATTTCTTTGAAAACAGACTTTGCAATCCTTCCTAACTCCTGTTAGAATATTATGCAGCTTTCCATTCAAGCGGATGTTGAATCGTAGGTTGAAGTTGAGGTTCGATCACGTGGCTGGCGAAAATCTCCAGTCAGTTGGTGAACTAAAGTTTTCACATACTGCAAGTGATTAAGCGGCTGTTCTCTTCTCTGCTGTTAGTGGTTTTATATAGAATATATGAATTTATTGAACAAATTTCTAAACCCCAAAGAAACAGTTTACGCCACCATTTCAGCGATTTTCTTAAAAAACAGTACGTTGAGGCATATTGATCTGCACGATCGACACCGCCCATATATTTTATACAATTTATTACTACATTAGGCTTTTCGACGGTAACTTCAATTCCACCTCGTAAAATTCGTTTTACAAGAGTCATTCCTGCATTGTTCCAATTGGTCAAGTATGTGACAACCCTCTTGTCCTTCCATGCTAAAACTAATGTATTTCTTTTGCGATATGCTACTGTCGATTTCTTGCGGAATTTTGTTCTTTTTTATTTGTACTGTTATATGCTTCCTATTTGTTAAGGTAGTTCCTGTCAGGTGTCATTTCAATTTCAATAATTCTTCAGCCAAGATAAAGCTCGTATAAATTTTTCGTCGTCTCACACCTCTTACTTCCTCACTATCTTCTTCACTGGATTCGTTCGTTTCGTGGCGTAATCCGTCGGAAATCAATGTAATTTCCTCGTTCAAAGTCGCAAAATCGAATTCGTCTGAACTTGAGCTGATCTGATCTTGATCCATATTTGGGATCGAGAACTTTTCAACTGCTATACTCACTGCCAAGATTGTTTCAACCGAATGCTATGCTGAGAGTAACTAAACTAAGATTTGCAGCCGAGCCTAGTCCACGAAAGTACTTCAGATAAAAATATCTTATCGCTCATCGTAAATAAACACATCGAGTTCCAAAACGCCGTAGTGCCGGTACAGCGCATTATCGACTGGACGCATCAAACCTCCCGGCGCCGCTCGAGTGCAAAGGGTTATTAAAGAAACATTTGCCGGGAAAATGCCGGGATTATTACGTTTGAACAAATTAAAATGGGGAGATTCCCCGCGCTAACTGTGCCGAATATATTCAATTAAAAATATTCGTGATAAAGTTGCTGTTATTCTTTCAACGTATCACGTAGCACTGACTCAATTTACGGGGGAAAAAAACTACCTTCATTAATAGTCGTTGAATTTCATTTATATGGAGGCTGTCTCTCTAACGAATTGCGCAAACAAACGAAAGAACATCAAATATTGTAATAAAACATGTAAATAGATATTTACGTGCAAGTGAATGCGAAATTTATATCTTTCTTTGAATTGTTCTTTTTTTTTTTTAATTGAAAATCATAACGAGGGTTTTGGACATTTCATTGATTGTATAAATTCTGTAGATTACTCTGCACCTTCCAATTCGATTGGAACAAATTGAAAATAGATTTCCTTTACGATCGAGATTATTTTATCCTTTTAATTCTCAAAGATCCGCAATCTGATAATGTTCCAATCCTTTCAAATTCTCGTGTCACGATGCACCAGTAAATCGTGTCTCGACGCACCAATAAAAACTTCCCGTAAGCCCGCAGATGCTTTCGCGAATCCTGTCTATGTTCAACGATAAAATCGATGACGTAGAAAAGTAGAAAATATTAGATATCTTGCACTCACTCGCGACAGATTTGTTCGCAACTGATCTGACAGTCTACGTGAATTCGATGTACCGCCAACGTGTCGCAAATGACGCGAGTAGGTGCGTACCTAGCGAACGTCGAAAAGAAGACTCACGACGAGGGGAAGATTTCTCTCATTTGTGCGCGCGCGTGCACGTGATCATCAATTCCCGATCAACCCTCTCAGAATTTATTCCCAACTTGTTGGCTATGTATTTGTTACGTATTTGCGGATGAACAATAGAGCGTCTAGTGAAATTTATGAATCATTGGATCAAGATTTATGACTTTCACGCTGGCAAACTGATGAATATTTCGCGATCGTGGCTTTCAAGGATGATGGATCGCTTAATTCTTGTGAAATTAATTCTTCGTTTTCGGAGGAGGATCATTCGCAAAATATACATTATCACAAAATGTACGCCACCGAGAATAATTACTCATCAGACAAAAAGTTTGGACAGACGTTCCGTGTATAAAATACACAGACCCTGCAGAGTACACACAGAGGCTATGGAGTACATACACTTTTAATAGCGATTTCAGCGATTGTGTGCAGAAAACGTACGTGTTGCATGATACAAATAGAAACCATGCAGAAATTAACACGTAGCGCAACACTGAACTAACTAAATAAGTGAAATGAAATACGAACACAAACTTTTGGCCGTTATTGTATGTTTATCAAATTTAACACACACACACGTATATGTGTCTTTTTTTTTTAAACATATTCTACATTTTATGAGTGAAAAGTTTTGACTTGCTTTGCCCATCTAAATATCTGTCTGTATGAGCACGAAATCTTTTGTTCCTTTGATACCATCAGAAATCAAGTAGCACTTTTTTAATCGTCAAAGAGATAATTAGACGAAATATTCTGCGTTTCCTCTTACCAGAAGATCGCCCAAAGCTAGAGAGAGCACGTATGTGTTGGGCACGTTTCTCATGTTGGCATCACACAACAGAGTAAACACCAGGATTCCATTTCCAATTACGCCGACCACCAGGATTAATAAGAATACCACAGGTACTATATACGTTTCAGGTCGTTGGTCGTACGGTACGTAACCATCATCCTCCTCGTCGTCACTTTGTATCACGTTCAAAAACGTCGTGTTCCGAACCATCGCCATCTGTAAAAAGAAACAGCATTTCCGTCGCATTTCCGTCGTGAACATCACAGCCGTAACACAACACCCGTGCATTTCGCGTGGGAATTTGATTTTTCGCTGAAATCAAACACCTTCATTAATCAGAAATTGATATTTCGCTGATCGTCGTGCTCGAGTGGTCAACCATCGAAAAAATAGTTGTATAACAATTTCTCGTCGAGTTGACAGACTGTCACGATCGCCCCTCGTGATCGATCGGTTGAAAAATGTTGGAAACGGTGCCATTAAAGGTGTATTTCCGTTTAAAAAACAACGACCGTCAATGAACCAGGCCAACAAGTCGAATCTATCGTTTCAATCCAGAAAGAAAACGTTCCATTTTCCATATATTTTCACGGACAGAGGATAGTCGAGCTGATACGTTGGACGTTACAGACAGAAAATAACCGCGTTAAAAAAACTGCGCGTTGATGCAGCGGAAAGATAGTTGAACAAATTACGCTCTCTTTTGATGTTTTTACAAAAGCCACATTGACACTTTTCGAACAAATTCGTGCGGGCGTTTCGAACAAAATTCGCCATGATGGTTGTAAATTTTCGTAACAACAAGGGCTCGATCCCGGGATTTAATATTACGACTGGCATAGTAATCATAATGGTCGCTCTGTGATCTTTCACGAGAATTTTGTAGAAATTACTTTTAAAAACCTCGATAATATTCGTCAGATGCACAAAAAGAAAGAAAATGCTTTTCCAAAAGTTTCGTTCCATTTCTTCGACTGTCTATTCTCTCGCGTGAGTTTAAAAATTACACTTCTCGTCTAAATATCCATTGAAAGGGAATGCCGGTTCAAAAAATTCTACATTTTGAACAAATGATGTTAAAAATAGGCGGATTTTAGTGTTCATCTAGAGCAGTAAAATTCGTGATTTTAACAGAGAATTCCACGTGTTTCAAGGGATGAAAAATGCAACAGCCATTTCCCACCCAGAAACGATGAGAAAGCTATGAAAATTGCGGTTGCAGGTAAGCGTGTGATCGTAGTTATAGCTCATTTAGTTGCAACTTTCTTGCCTCGTCTTTCTTTTCTCGAGCAAACTTCCGCCTACACACAGCCTAAGCGAATAGAAGGTAGGAGAGGAGATGCATCATTCTCTGCTGCAAAGTTGCGCGTTTGTTTTCGTTTGTTTTCGTGTGAGAAAGAGAGCGGAAGCGATTTCCTTCAGTCATTGACGCTCGGCGTGAAATCACATTCTGTAAACCCTGTCTCGACGTTTTAATATCATTCGCCGACAGTGGCGCGAAAAATCCAATGTATATTCTTGAACACGGGGAGACGAGGAGGAGAGTGGCGAGGAAAATGGACATGACGCGGAGCGACAGGTGATATTTCATTGAAATACCGGAGTTCCTCCGTGAAATGTCTTTTTGCGAAACAGCGCCTGCATCTGTCCTTATGAATTCCATCAGTATTTAAAATATTTGCCTTTCCCTATTTCTGATTGCGTCCTGTCTCTGTTTGCGCGGCGAGACGGCAGCAGACTCGAGAATAATTGAGAGACCAAACTGAAGCGTTTTTTCTTTTCGGCCAGTTCGGCAATTCTCCGTGGATTTTCCGCGATATTTTTTCAAGCGGACCGACGTCTCGCGCAGCCGGTTTTACGCCGCCTCGTAGATATTTCCGAGAAGTTGCCGACCAGCAGAAGTTTCGATGCTACATCACCGTATTTTCGAGCTAATTTCGAGTCGAATCGTTCGCGCGAGATAAATATAAATCCCCTCGTATTTTCGCCTAGAAAGCGCTTCGAAGTCAGCATTCTTTAATGCGCCCGCCGTCGCTTTCGAGTAGAAATCTACGGTGGTTCATCGCGACGAAACGTTTGCGTTTGAAAACTTCAGATACAACCGCCGCGAATTAAAATAAACGTAAAAACCCCGTTTCGAGGTGTGATTTCATCTCTATGAATTATCCGTTTGATGGTTTCCTGCGAGGTGTGTAATTGCAACAAGTACAGTTGTAACTTTCACGCGTTTCTAGATCGCGTATCAAACTTAATTTAACCTAGTTACGATACTCGAGTCCCGCTGCAAATATCAATTAGAAAATCAATTTTATATTTTTAAAAATAGATATATATATATATATATATATATATATATATATCCATTAACATTTTGATGATATTAATGCAAATAGATTGAAATAACGAAAGGGTATAATTATTACATATATTATAAGATTTAATAATTGATTTAATAGTCTACGTAAATTGGGATGTAGAAGGATTAAACATCGTTAAAAAGATATTCAGATATAATAGTAACAATTCCAGAAATTACACGCTAATGAAATTTCCAGTTTTCGTCACGTTTATCTTTTTTTTTTTTTTTCATACTTCACAAAGTCATTAATTTCGTTAAAATCTGGTACCCGCGAGATCAACAGAGGATGAAACAACAAAACCACGAAAAGGTCAAAAGTTGGAATTTAAAAAGGCTTTGGAATTTCCATTGAACTCGGGGCAAATGAGATGCGAGCGTTTATGGATCGAACGGGAAGATTAAGGGGAACGATGGCTGACGCGAATGGTCAACCAGCGCGCGCGATTGCAAAGGATAAGGCACGTACGCGTGTGCGAAAACGGTGACTAGCGAAATATAATGCGCGCCGAAGATTGTACGGTTAGAATTGCAAATCGTGGTGTTTTATCTTCGCGATTTGAATACGCCGTTATTTCAGAAAACTCGTCAACAGGGAGGGAAGAAGTTTTTACTTTCGCGGAACGATTCGAGGGTGAAATAATGAAATGATATTCATACATACATATTCCTTCTTGCGTTTCTTTATTCTTCTTCATTTTTTCCTCCCTTTTCTCTTTTGTGTCGTGTCGTTCAAAGTCTCTTCGTTCGAAATGAAATAAAAGAGAAAGAGAGAGAAAGAGAGAAAGAGAAACAAGTCAGCGCAATTTTTCATTTTACGATGGCGCCGATCGTTCCTTTTGTCCCCGTGAAACCCGCGTATCGATATCTGGCTGCTCGATAGCGGATCGCGTCACAATAAGAATTAATCAGCACGATCGCGGTACCATCTGACCTATCGATCATCCTAAATTGAAATAAACTCGACGACGACGATCGTTGTTTCGAACGTTGCGACGTTCGAGAATAAATTCGACTCGAGCCGATTCTAAAAAAATGATCCGCGTCCATTTTCTTTGTGTTCCTTTCCTTCTTTTTCTTTCTTTCTTCTTCAGAGCGTCTCTCGATAAGGAACTTACAGACCGTTATCGGAACGTTATTTTACACTCGACGGAGAATAATTAAATTTCTCTTCCTGATTGATTTCCGGTGATTAATAATCTGTGCAAGTGCCGTGCACCATTGAGGATAAATATTGGGACATCTGGGCGTCTGGGCCGCGGTATATTATTCAGTGCAAATTGCTTTCACTTTATAATCATTATGCTGGAAAATTTGTTACTTCACTCGCATTATCGGTAATTTCCAGACTTTGACTTGTAACTGAATTCAGTTTTACGATTGTAAAATACGATTACACGGCGACGGACGAAAAAGGTTACTAATAATTTGTTAAATAATATATAATTCTTCGTTACATCAATGATAAATTAAAATTGAATTAAAAATTATCCGCGCGTACGAAGTAACAAAGTCGAGCGATAAATGGAATAAAATTTGTTCGAACACTTCGACAGATGAATCGTTGTGAATTCAGACTGACCGGTTCTTACACTTTTGAAAAAAAATTTCTGAATGTTCGCACCGAACTGGACAGTGAAATGAAAATAGCGAGAGAAGAAATGAAGCTTCCACGTTTGATTTTCTGAAAGGGTTTTCCTCTCTGCAGTATCGATGAACCGTACGTGTAAATTTTACAAGCACTCTCGGCGATCTTTACACGCTTGCGCCCCTTAAAACTATAGCATAGAACAGCGAGTCACAACGATTCTTTCGTCCGTGAAATCGTCATCAGCGAATTGAACATGGCCAGACTCTTCGAGAAATGTTTCATCAACCTGATAAATAAGTAAGGAAACTCGAACGGAATTGTCCACTTTCAATTTATTCGTGCTCGTTGCACAATCGTTGCGACATCATTACTTCCCATCGTTAGACATTTACGACGATTTCACTGTCGCTTCGCGGGCTTCGTGACCGATGGCAATACATTCCTCTCGATCTCCTCTTTATCCAATTCCGCGAAGGTTTATGGCGCTTTAGCACGATGTTCCCTGTCCCATCAATCATGCCAGATTTATGCCCAGAACTTCGAGCGCGAAAGCGAACGACGTGCCACGCGTTAAAAGTATCCCAGCCTGCGGCCGTGAAACGGAAAGCAAAACCGTGAATCATTACGCGAAATGGTGTACGGTGTGAAAATTGCGGACGAGATTTGTGGGGTTATTGCGATTCCAGACACCGCGCGACGATCAGAGAAGTTTATAGAGGAAGCTGTCGTTCGAAGCTCGGCCCTTGGTCCACAGAATGAATATTCATCCGACAATTATTCGAAATTTCACTTTAAATTTCCCAAAAATGTCCGCTTTAGAACACGCTTTCCGACGTAAATCTTTCTACAAACAACCAATGACTCTTCGTCGAAATGAATTCGTAATAAATTTTTACTCGACCTAACAGTTTTCGGACTTTGATCGTCGCGTTACAACTTAGCCTTAGGCTAAAAACAGAAATACATCGGTATCTGGTATGGATCAATGAATCCTTTTCCATCCTCCCAAAAGTGTCGTTCACACTTCGTTTCTTAAGCTAGAAACAATCTAGTCTTCACAGTTCAGAAATACACCTGCGTAAATTTATATTATTCGCACGTCGTCGTCAACTTCCAGCGTAGAATTGAATCGTTCGTCGAGCTTTTGTTAATTTTTTTAATTCATTTAATTAATTTATTTATAGCTTTGACTAGATTTATTCGATTTATTTTTTAAATTTCGCTCATTGTCTCCTGGTATCTATATATTTTTCGACGTTGGCTATATAT